AGGCTGAGGCAGGTGGATCATGAGGTCAAGAGATCGAGACCTTCTGGCCAACATGGTGAAACCCTGTCTCTACTAAAAATAAAAAAATTAGCTGGGCATGGTGGTGTGTGCTTGTAATCCCAGCTATTTGGCAGGAGAATCGCTTGAACCAGGAGGCAGAGGTTGCGGTAAGCTGAGATTGAGCCACTACACTCAGGCCTGGCAACACAGTGAGACTCTGTCTCAAAAAACAAAATGAAACAAAAAAAAAAAAAAGAAAAGAAATTCTGCTAACAATATAAGTGAGCTTGGGAGCAGATCCTCCCCTAGTCAGGCCTTCAGATGAGAACAGCCCTGACCAATAACTTGATTTCAGCCTTACAGGGTTTCAGAGAAACCATGAAGCAGAGGACCCAATGAAATGGTGCCTGAACTCCTAACCTATAAGCTCTGAAATAAATGGGTGTTGCTTTAAACCATTAAGTTTGTAGTAATTTGTTTATCTGATAACTAATGAAGTACCTATTCAAAATTGTCATCATCATGCAGGTGAGAACCTTCTGAAAACCTGGGAAACATTCTGTAGTCAGACTCCACTACTGTACCACTAATGTCTCTTCCCTCCGACTCTGCAGCACCCCAGCAAAAGACCTCTGCAGCTGAGTCCAAAGAACATTCCCATGTGAACCGAGTGACCAAGTGTCATCTGAGTGAGCTTGTTAGATTCTAGCCCCATCCTGTGTGAGGCCTTAGGTGGACCATTTACAGCTCACAAGAAATGCAGTTTATGAGGAGAGACCATGAATAATGGGGGGGGAGGGTATTACCAAGCAGATCAGCATAAGGAACATCCATTCCCAGAGAGAAACTTGGGCTATTGTCAGTTCAAGGACATATCTCTCCGTCCTTTTACAGCATATTGCAATAGATTACAGCCATGCTAAATCATCCATAAACGACCTAATTCCACCGAACAGACAGGAAAGAAGGTAGAGTCCTACAACAGCCTAGTCGGAATAAGAACTACAGTAATTTTGCCAAAGGCCCTTAAGTTCTTGAATAATTCTTGTCAAAATGAATTTCAATCTGAGTTAACTCACAGTCAACAATTTGGCTGTTTTTCTTGTTTCTCACTCTACTGCCATACTCTCTTCCACAGTATTTTTAAGCAGCCATTTAAATGGGTTTGTTCTGCTGCAGGTGGCAGAGCCTTGGAGCTCCTCCTTGGGAGACTACACAATGGATTCTATAATGATTAGTGGCAGCATCCAATGTCTCTTCCAAGTCTAAAATTTGTGAGTTTCAAAGTTGACACTCCCCAAACCTGGCCTTTGCTGTTGCCTCAGATTCTCATTCACTCTAGCAAGGCAGAGACGCAAAAGGGGCAAGACAAACCTCATCAACAGCACAGAAATCCCAGAATCACACACTCTCTGGTCCAGCCAAGCCAAGTGGTTTTTTTTTTGGGGGGGGCGGGGGTTTAATCACCCTCCATTACCCAACATTCTCGTTCCCAGATGAATTTTAAACTGGAGTTGCACCAACTGTGAGACAGCCTCAACCCCAATGTTAAATACTACCAGTTACTAAAAAAAAAGACTGAGAACAGTTCTCTCTGGAAAACGATCCACCAACCTTTTTATGGGAAGAAGAAAGTCTTCTCTAACACTTTAACTTAAGGGAAGAAGTGATGGAGAGGAAGAAGGAAAGTACATTGGCCAATACTCTGAAACTGACTGACTTGGGTATCTGTGGTCCAGAGAGGATCCCGAAAGACAGTGACTCTGTCTCAATGATTATTACCATCCCAATTAAAAGTCAAAATGACAGCATTTACATTCACACAGGGTCTCTTTCCAGGAAGTTTGTGATTCACCTACATGTCCTCAATTATCAAGATAACAATGGGGTCAACAAGGAGGTGATAGCCAGGTCCTGTGAGAGCTGTTTGTCAGAGCCCACTCTCAGTGAGTCAGTCCCTGGAAGTTGGGTTCAGTGCATGGAGGCAGGGCCACTGACTGGCTTAGCAACTTGTCCATCATGCCGATTTTAGCATCTTGCTTCTCAATGTCCTCATACGGAGTCCAGGACAAGTCATGCTGTAGCTTGTAGGCACCAAGGAAGTCATGTGGACAACTTGTCCCCCATTCCTAGAGAAGGCAAAGGAGGCAGTTCCCATCAGGGTGGGTTGTGAACAAACTGCGCTCATTTCCTAATTACGCCACAATCTCTTTTTTGGCTTTTCACTTCATACCAGTCAGAACAATCTTTGGAAAGCAGTTACCTTACACATCAGATCTCTCCCTTGAGAAAATGAGTGAAATAATTTAAGCACAGGTATATTTTTTATAGTCATGTCTGGGCTCACATCACCCCCAGTTTTCTAAGAAACCATATACCAATCCACATGTCTACATTTTCACACATATACCAAGAATTTCTCAGAGGCTGGAGTAGATTTTTGGGCAAACAATGTATGTTCTTACCTTTGGAGAAATGATGGAAAAATACTGCTGACCACTCTCCCGTTTATAGAGGTAGTAAATGTTGCCAGGTTTTTTCACCATATTACAAGCTACATGGTGCAGGTCGGCATCTCTGTGAGCATCTTCCAGTACCTATGAATCACAGATATGTAACGAATTAGGTATTGGAGATAACGGGCACCCATATTCAGTGATCATCCCAATTAAAATTTGGAAACCATTCAATGCTTAGGATCTTGGTCCCCAATAGCAATGAATCACTTTTAAGATCCAGATTACTCTGAAGAAACAAAAATTAGACTATGCTGCTATGCTGTAAAAAAGGCTTTAAAAAATTATATTTCAAGCCAGGCACAGTGATTCATGCCTGTAATCCTAGCACTTTGGGAGGCCATGGCAGGCGGATCACTTGAGCTCAGGAGACCAGCTTGGGCAACATGGCAAAACCCTGTCTCTACTAAAAATACAAAAAATTAGCCAGGTGTGGTGGCATATGCCTGTACTCCCAACTACTTGGGAGGCTGAGGCAAGAGGATCACTTGAGCCCAGGGGGCAGAGGTTACAGTGAGCCGAGACTGCACCACTGCAGTCCAGCCTGGGTGATACAGTGATACCCTATTTTAAAAAAAAAAAAAAAAAAGGTATTTCAAAATGTTGAGCAATAATGACTCCAGGTAATTTTTAAGTTTCTTTCCTATTTTTCTGTGCTAAGTACATTTCTTTTATAAATGAAAACATATTCCCCTGTTAAAATGCTTTACCTCATGAAACCTTCTCCTGGAAAAAACAAAACAAGGGAGGCTGAGGCAGGCGGATCACCTGAGGTCAGGAGTTTAAGACAGGCCTGGCCAACATGGCGAAACCCCATCTCTACTAAAAATACAAAAGTTAGCAGGGGGTGGTGGTGGGCACCTGTAATCCCAGCTACTTGGGAGGCTGAGACGGGAGAATCGCTCGAACCCGGGAGGCAGAGGCTGAAGTAAGCTGAGACCACGCCACTGCACTCCAGCCTGGGCAACAAGAGCAAAACTCTGTCTCAAAAACAAACAAACAAACAAAAACTTATACTTAACCTCTTAAGCTTATTCCTTCTATTTTACTCAACACCTACCTCTACATTTCTAGGAGGCACTAAAGACATAAAAAGTCACAATGATTATAAACAAGTTCAGCCAATCCTGAGAACTAAAGAAAGAAAATGAAAGCCTGTCTAACAGTCATTCCTTACCTTCCTGGCTTGTTCCTGCAAATGTTGGATTTGCTCAGCTATGACTGTCAGCTTGTTGGTGGCATTTGCTCGGATGAATTCATCAGCCTACAGGTTAGAGAAAACTAAACTGTGGGTTAAAAGAGGAAAAGACTTCTATGATGTTCTTTTCTGGATCCCAGTGAAGAGGTTTATGCTAATATTTTGCTTCTGCCTAAAATATTTTTCCCATTCTCTCCACTGCCCCACAGCCTCCCACTCATCCTGAGGCCCCACTCAGATAGCACTGTCATGAGAAGGCCACCCTGACATGACTCCACACCACAGTTACATGCTCTCTTCTATTTCCCATAGCTTTCCACCCTTTCACTATGAACTGCAGTTACACTGAACTTCTTTGGTTCTCCAACATGCCTTCTCTCTTTCTCTCTCTCTCTCTCCTGCTACCAAATATATTGAATATACCCTCTCCTCCAACCAATCCATTTTTCCTCCTGCTCTTTACCTAACAAACACCACACACTTCTCAGGTCTCCATTTTCTCATGTTTAAACCCTTGTGAAATCAGGGATGGATTTTAAATAATTAAAAGACACTTGTGATCTGGCCCTTATCATCTGCTAAGGTAGAAATCTAGATACACACAGAAAGTATTCGGGTTTTTCTATGTGACCCCCACACCCCCAGAACTGAGAAAGTATGTGTTAATCTGACCATTTCCTCAGTTATTTACATCACAACTACTTAAATTTTAACTTATATGTGCATTTCTAATTATTACTTAAAACGTATTTTAAAAGACTGCATTATGATGTGGACCTGAAACAGAGTTATAATGTGCACACAAGACTGCCTGTCATGTGCCACAAAGTGCAACTGAAGGCAATGGAAATTTTTTTTTCTTCAGACAGAGTTTTCGCCCTTACTGTCCAGGCTGGAGCTCAATGGCGCGATCTCGGCTCACTGCAACCTGTGCCTCCTGGAGTCAAGTGATTCTCTAACCTCGGCCACCCGAGTAGCTGGGATTATAGATGCCCACCACCATGCCCAGCTAATTTTTGTATTTTTAGTAGAGGCAGGGTTTCACCATGTTGTCCAGGCTGGTCTCAAACTTCTGACCTCAGGTGATCCACCCACCTCGGCCTCCCAAAGCGCTAGGATTACAGGTGTGAGCCACTGCGCCCAGCCAGGACATTTCTTAAAATAGATCAAATTCTCAAAGTTAGGAGAGACTAATGTGATCAATTCATGTGCTGGGAAGGATTACCACTCAGACAATAGAAATCTGTCAAAAATTTCCAGCTTACTTTTACGAAAAGCTGATTATACACAATTAAGGTAAAGAAATGAGGAAATTAAACTAGAACTTGAACTAAAAAATATTAAAGAGAATTTGTTGGTTAGTTGAGGAGTCTTACGGCAAAATTCAGGTATAAACCAGTGTTACGAGTGAACAGAAACCATACAAGTAAACTGAGTCATTTATCTGTCCCACAGATGTATATTAGGCAGCTACTGTGTGTCAGACACCACACTAGGCACTGGGTGTACTGGTTAACAGGAAAGAGAAATCCCTGCCTTTAAGATGGCAAGTCAAGTCTAATATAGTTTAACAGAAATATGAGGCAAGTCGCATATAAAATTTTAAATTTAAATTTTCTAGTAGCCACGTTAACAGTAAATTAATTCTAACAATACTTTTTTTTTTTTTTTTTTTGAGGCAGAGTCTCGGTCTGTCACAGATGCTGGAGTGCAGTGGTGCAGTGGCTCACTGCAACCTCCGCCTCCTGGGTTCAAGCGAATCTCATACCTCAGCCTCCTGAGTAGCTGGCACCACAGGCATGTGTCACCATGCCCGGCTAATTTTTGTATTTTTAGTAGAGACGGGGTCTGGCCATGTTTGCCGGGCTGGCCTCGAACTCCTGGCCTCAAGTAAGACGCCTGCCTCAGCCTCCCAAAGTGCTGAGATTACAGGCATGAGCCCCCGTGCTCCAGCTAACACATTTTATTTAACCTAATATATCAAAAACATGTTCATTTTAACATGTAATCACTATTTTTAAGTTGTTAATGAAATATTTTGCATTTTTTGTTTGTTTTTGTTTCTTTTTTTGGTCCTTTGCAGTCTAATCCATATTTTGCATTTGATATTAAGCCTTCAAAATATAGTGTTTATTTTGTACTCACAGCACATCTCAATTTGGATGCTAAATTTTCATCAGAAATACTTCATCTGCATTTAGACTTAATAAAATTTATATGTGAAAAAGTTGATTCACATACTCAAATTGTTCTAATATACTTGAGTTCCAATACTTGAAGTAATTATTGTTTTTAAATTCAAATGAATTAAAATCAAATAAAATATAAAATTTGGTTCCTCAACCACACTAACAACATAAGTGCTTAACAGACATAATGTTGCTAGTGGGTACCATATTTTAAAGCACAGCTCCAGTGAGTAATAGATACCAAAAAGTAAACATGATTAAAGTTAATATTATATGTACACATAATAACAATGCACTATTATGAAGGAAATAATCACAATTATGTGGTAGAAGCAGGTTAAAGATAACAAATAAGTAGAAAAGCTACTTCATTTTTATGAAGTTTAATAATAGGGAGTGGTGGGGAATTGGAAAGTATATGTAGCCTAGAAGTATTTGAATTCAATTTAATAATACTGTCATTTGGATGGGGTAGGGTAAGGCCTTTTTCAGACAAGAAGGCCTCACTAAGGATGTAACATTAGACTTGGGTCTAAATGAAAGGAGAGGACCGACCATGAGAAAAGCTGGGGAAAAAAAAGTTTGCAGGCATTTGAGGCCAATGCAGTTGAAGAGTAGTTAGTGATAGGCAATGTGTAGAACGGGGTTAAAAAAGAGAGCAGAGACCAGATCGTGCCGTCTTGTAGCCCACGGTAAAAGAATTTGCATTTTGTTCCAAGAATGAAAGCCCAGGCATGGTGGCTCACACCTGTAATCCCAGCACTTTGGGAGGCCGTGGCTGGTGGATCACGGGAGGTTGGGAGTTCGAGACCAGCTTGACCAACATGGAGAAACCCTGTCTCTACTAAAAATACAAAATTAGCCAGGCGTGGTGGCACATGTCTATAATCCCAGCTACTTGGGAGGCTGAGGCAGGACAATTGCTTGAACCCAGGAGGCAGAGGTAGATGGGAGCCAAGACAGCGTCATTGCACTCCAGCCTGGGCAACAAGAG